CTTCCTCATCCTCCTTCTCGTCCCCCTCTTCCGCCTTTCCCTCCTCCTCCTCCTCCTTCTCCTCTTCCTTCCTTCTCCTCCTTCTCCTCCTCCTCCTCCTCCTCCTCCCCTTATCCTCGTCCTCCTCCTCCTCCTTCCTCTCCTCCTCCTCCTCCTCCTCCTCTTCCTCCTCGTCCTCCTCTCCTCTCGCCTCGCCTCCTCCCTCTCTCCTCCCCTCCTCCTCCTCCGCTTCCTCCTCCTCCTCCTCCTCCTCCTTCTCCTCTTCCTCTTCCTCTTCCTCCTCCTATACAGATTCTCCTCCTCCTCCTCCTCCTCCTCCTCCTTCTCCTCCCCCTCCTCTCCCTATCGCTTCCCTTCTCCAACGTTCATCCCACACTCCTGCCTCCTCCTCCCCCTCCTTGTCCTCGTCTTTTTCCTGTCCTCCTCCTCCTCCGCGGCGCGCGCGGGTTTTCTCCGCGGGCGCACGTTGATCTCGAGATGGCGGACATCTCCCCCACGCCACAAAAACTGGGCGCTTTCCCTGGGGGTGACCGACTGTCCAGGGGGGAGGGATCTGCCAGCCAGGGCCTCTAGAAAGCGCACCTGGGAACCGTGGCCATCGGGAAGATGGTGTCGTCGACCGCGAGCACCTCGGCCCAGCCTCGCAGCTGTCCCCGTGCGCTCTCCCCAAGCTCTTGGGCAGCCAGCGCGCCAGCCAGCCGTCCGCGGGAGGCGTGCCGTCAGCGACCACGCCTTCGCAGCAGTAACGTCGCGCCGTCGCGCGGGCGCGCGCCTCCGCCCGCGCCCAGCCGGGGCACCCCCCCGCGCCTGGGGCCAGCCTCTGGGTGGCCGGCCCGCTTTGCAGTTCCGCGCCGCGCGCCGCCAGCGCCGCGTTCGCCCCGGGCCCGGCGCAGCGCCGGGCAGCGCCCCAGCGCAGCAGCCGCCCAGCCAGCAGCGCCTGGCCGCGCCCGGCGCCCAGCCCGCCAGGCCCGCGCTGCAGTTGCTCGGCGCGCGCGGCCGGCGTCGCCGCGCCGCGTCGGTCAGTGGTCAGCCAGTCAGCGCCTTTAGCGGCCGCCGGGCCTGTTTTGCGGCTCGGCCCCATGCCGGGGCGCCCCGCCTGGCGCCAGCAGCCCACCCCTGCGCCTGCGTCGCCGCCAGGACAGCGTCGGCTGCGCACCCGAACGACTGGTGCAGTCGCTGGATGGCCGCCGAACGCCCCGCGTCCTGCGCAGGCGCGAGCAGCCGCGTCAGGGCCAGCGCCTACACCACGAAAGGCACCACGGCCACCTCGGGGTAGCGGGCCCGCTAGCGCCGCGCCGCGGCCACCGCTGCCGCGCCGTCCCGACGCGCAGAACGGAGGGCGAGCGCGTCCTGCGTCAACGCGCCCACCACCGTCAGGTCGACCATGCGCGACTCGGCGAGGCGCGGGGCGTGGATGACTAGCTCCATCCGCGCTTCGGGGTTCTCTGGCGCTGCGTGGAAGACTTCTCGGTGCACGGTGCACCCTTCCTCGCACCACGCCGCGAGTTCCGCGCAACCCGCGTCGTGGCGGCGGATCAGCCACCCGCCCACGGCGAAGCCGCGCGCGTGCCGCCCAAGGCCCCTGGTGTCCAGCGGCGCGCCGTCGGGGTGCCGGTGCTGGGAAAGCGTCAGCAGTCGGGGGCCAGCAGCGCCTGCCGCCCGCGCAGTGCCCGTGCAGCCGGGCAGGTCGAGGTGGAGGCGGAATCGCAGCGCAATGTCGAACTGCGCGTCGGTCCGCCGGTGGCAGGGCAGCGTCGGACCTGCAGGAGCGCGCTCGCGCCTGGGCCTCCCGCGGAGCGCAGGGCGGCCTCTTCATGTCCTGCTCCTCCTGCCTCCTCCTCCTCCTCCTCCTTCTCCTCCTCCTCCTCCTCCTCCTCCTCCTCCTCCACCTCCACCTCCTCCTCCTCCTCCTCCTCCTCCTCCTCCTCCTCCTCCTCCTCCTCATCTTCCTCCTCCTTCTCTCCTCCTCCTCCTCCTCCTCCTCCTCCTCCTCCTCCTCCTCATCTTCCTCCTCCTTCTCCTCCTCCTCCTCCTCCTCCTCCTCCTCGTCCTCTACTACTCCTCCCCTCATGAGCCTCCTCCGATACTCCTCCTCATCCTCATCCCATTCCTTCTCCTCACCTTCGTGCGCCTTCCGGTCGACATGCTCGGTCGCGATAGCTTTGGTTCAGCAGTCCTTACACACTTGCCGTTACGTGGCATTTCGATGCGTACCGCATGGGTCCCCATTTTGGTATCAAGGCGCCTTCATCACGGACGTAGATCGTGCCCCGCCAAAGTACCTGAGGACGCAAGAATGGTGAAGGTTCGTCGTGCGTTGCGGCCCCACCGAGAAACCGAATCATTTGCACTACTGGACGAGGCTATGTGTTGGTATATACTGTTTCGTGGTGGTGCTATTCTGGGTCGTGTTGGTCTCCGTAGTGGTCAGTAGGTTTGCTCGGAACGACAAACTCGTCATATGCCCATGCTCATACTCCTCCTATACTCCTCCTCCTCGTCTTGCCTCGTCGTGCTGCCTCGTCGCCCTGCAGTATCCTCCTCCTCCTCCTCCTCCTCCTCCTCCTCCTCCTCCTCCTCCTCCTCCTCCTCCTCCTCCTCCTCCTCCTCCCCCTCCCCCTCCTCCTCCTCCCTCCCCCTCTTCTCCTCCCTCCCCCTCCTCCTCCTCCTCACCCTCCCCGCTCAGCAGCGGGCACACGCCGAAGAGACCCCGCAGGGGCCCAGAGGAGCGCCCCGCTGCCAAGGGAACCCCGGGCCCGCCCCCACCGCCAGAGGGCCCCGACGCCTCGGCCCCGCCCCGCCTGCAGGGGGGCCCCTTCACGACTCCGCGTGTCGGCTCGGAGCCTCTGCGCGCCTCGTCGCCTCCGTCGTTGCCGGCGCCGTCCGTGGTCGTGGAGCGCGCTGCTCTGCTCGGGACTCGTGCCCCTCCGCTGTGCGGCGGCCACCGCCCCTCCGCCTTCAGGAGTGGAGGGAGGCACAGCGGGGAGCGGGCGGCACGCGGAGGGTAAGAGGCGCAGGAGGCACGGCTCTCGGTGCCGCTCCCCCGCCGACGTCAGCCGCGTGGCGGCACCGAACTGGCCCGCGGGCGTGTGCGGCGCACACCCCACCAGGGGCCTCCAACCTGCTCAGAACGAGCGTGCGATTGGTTGGTATCCGTCTGCGGCGCCGTGGGGCCCTCGCGGGGCCCCAGGGCCGTCCAAAAACGACGCTGGACGAGAAACTGGTCCCTGGGAGAGGGGTCGAGGTCCACGCTTCGAAAATATATATGAAGTCGAGAGCCTGCCCCCCTCCGTGCCTCGCACCTCCCCACCCCTCTCCCCGCCCTTCTCCTCCTCGCCTCCGCTCCCACAGGGCCTCGAGGCGACATTATTTTGCCGTGCACGTGCTGGTTCTCTCGGTGCTGATTGTCCGTCTCGGCCCCTGTGGCCAGCAGCGGTCACGCGGGACGGCTTTGCACGAAGGGTGCGGCTCCCTTGGGACCGACAGGCCCTGGACCCCGGGACCTTCCCCGAGGGGGCCAGGTCTTCATAATTATGGGTCGGTCTTTGACGGCCCTGGGCCCCGGGAGCAGCCCTGACACTTACCAGCCTGGAACATATCCCTATCCCTATGCTGGGCATATCCTAATCACGATGCCAATCTTAGGGATTCCCTTATTTTTTGAGGACGCATCCCTAAGATTGTCATCGCCTTTTGGCGTGTCAAACTTAGAGATAGGGATAAGTTCGAGGCTGGTAATGACACGGGAAAAAGCACAGCTACACGCGTCCGATCCACAGCGCAGCACCGCCCAACGCCGCTCAAAGAATGCCGCGATGTTGTCCGGTGCTGTGCGGTGTTGCGCAGTGCTGCGCGGTGTTGCGCGGCTGCGCTGCACTGACGAGCCGTGAACTGCATGTCCAAGACATCCCTCTGTGGGCCGGACACGTACACGGGGACCCCGTTCTCGATCGCCGGCTCATGGGGGTCAGACGTCGTCTGGGGGTCAGAATCAGCTTAGGGAAGCTGGGGACACCACATTTCCTGAAAACTACACTGCCTGGGCAAAGGATTTCCGAAGGAGCTGCCAAAGAGAAGACAAAGGAAACAGATCTCCGCAGAAACATGCGGCCCCGACCAAGAAACATCCAAGGAAATTGGAGTCCCGAAGCGGTGCGGTGACAGACCGTGCGGTGACCTCGGAACCCCAAGAGACCTCACCGCACGGTCCGTCACCGCACGGTTTTGGGACCTCGGAGACCCCTGTCGCCCGAGACGTCCTCGCAGAACGACCCGAGTTCCAAAACCGTGCAGTGACCCCGACTCCCCACCGACTCGCCGCACGGTGTGGTCACCACCACGTTTGGGGGCTTCCGGAAGGCATGAGGCTCGCCGATCCCACGACAGGGGGCCAGAGACGGCCGAGCCCCCACTGGCAGGCGAAATGGGCGCTCCTTCGCGGCGAGGCGGCGGGCAGGCCTCAGGACCCTGGCCCCAGGCCCCCGACGTCGTGACTTGTTCACAAAGTCGACCCCCCGAGGTCTGGACCCCAGACATGATCGCGTCGCAAAAAAAATCAGGACGGCAAGTGATTCACTATGTTCGGTCCTTGGGGGACCTCGCCGGGCCTCGAGACCGTCAAAAAAACTCGGGACGAAAAACCGGTCCCGGGGAAAGGGTCGGGACTTCCAGGGACGCCGTCGTGAAAAAATCCGGACGTCGCATGTCTGGGACCCCTTTTTAAGAGGCCCGCTCTCGACCCGCAGACCAAAAAGTCTGGGACCCCTTGCCCAGGACCGGCGTCTCGTCCTGAGTCGTTCGCCGAGGGTCCAGCGAGGGCCGGGGAAGGCCCCCCGGGAGGCTGACAACGGCGCAAGGCCTCGCGGCGTGACTTGTTTCCACTTCGCGAGGGGGTCTGGGGGCCGCCGCGCGGGGCGCTGCGGGGCGCGCGGCACGGGCACCGCCGCGGCCAGCCTGTCGGGCGCGCGCGCGGGCCAGAAGATGCGCACCGGGCGGGCGCCTCACTGCTGCTCGGGCATCTGCATGCGCGGGAGCTGCTTCCGCAGGCCGCCGGTCGGGCTGAAGGCCATGTCCTTCACCTGGGCGGCGATCCACACATAGAGGGCGGAGAATCCCCCCCCCCAGACCCAGACCTCCAACGTAGTGGAAAAATCAAGACGGAGGTCTTTCTCGATTTTCGGCCTCTAGCGACCCTCGCTGGGCCCCGGGACCGTCAAGGAACGACTCAGGATGAAAAGCCGGTCCTGGGGAATGGTTCGAGACTTCCCTGGGACCCCGTGTTGAAAAAATACGACATCGGATCTCTGGGCACTGATCACCCCCGCACGCGAAGCCGTTTAGTAAACGCACCCACCGATCGAATCGAGCAGAGCAGGGCTGTTTCGGAAACGCTCAGGGCCGTTTAGTAAACGCACATTCTCGGGTCGGGATGGGTTTTCCTCCCTCGAGCCCTGCCACTCCAGGATCCCAGGATTCCCTATATTCTTCCATAGTTTCCGGGGAATCCGTATTCCCCCTCACTTCCCAGATTTCCCTTTATACATATATATATACACATGGACAGCTCCCCCCCAGCACCCATTCTACACCTTCCTCCTTTCCACGAGGCTGGAGTCGTGCCGCTCCCCATCCTTTCTCCCTTCCCTCTCCGCTCCTCTTCTTATTATTATGTTTCTTCTTCTGCTTCTTCTTCTTCTTCTTCGCTGTTCACCCGCATCCGCCAGCAGCGCATTTTCAACGAGCGCCAACGTGACCGATGCCAGCGTCTGCTTCCTCTACATAGAGGACAATCAGCGCGTGAGCCATCCTGTAGATAAGAAACCAGCAAACCCTGTGATTTCACTGATTCCTAGGATTCCAAGGATGCAAATCGATGAAACCCTGATTTCACTGGGATTCCTGGGATTCCTGGGATTTCATACCCTGGAGCAAAACCATCCTTGGGATCCCCAGGAGGTCCAGGGCTCAGAATCCGAGGAATCCCAATGAAATCACAAGGTTCGCGACGTCGGTGATGCGCAAACCCTATGATTTCATTGGGGTTCCTGGGATGTCTGGGATGCAAATCAACGAAGCCCTGCGATTTCACTTGGATTCCTGGGATGTCATACCCTGGAGCAAAAACAACCTCAAGATCTCCAAGAGGTCCAGGCTCAGAATCTCAAGAATCCGAATGAAATCGCAGGGTTCGCGACGTCGGTGATGCGCAATGCCTGCGATTTCACTTGGATTCTTGGGATTTCCGATATGCACATCCACGAAACCTTTTGGTTTCACTGGGATTCATGTGATTCCTGGGATTTCATACCCTGGAGCAAGACCATCCTTGGGATTCCAGGAGGTCCCGGGCTCAGAATCCGAGGAATCCCAATGAGATCACAGGTTCGCGACGTCGGTGATGCGCAAACCCTATGATTTCATTGGGCATTGGGGTACCTGGGATTTCTGGGATGCACATCAACGGAACCATGTGATTTCACTGGGACTCCTTTGATTTCTGGGATTTCCAGCCCTGACCTTTGTGACCCCAGGGTTCGGATGTTGTTTTTGCTCTGGGTCTGGAAATCCCAAGAATCCAGCGAATCCCGTTGAAATCGCATGGTTTCGTGGATTTGCATCCCAGAAATCCCAGGAATCCGAATGAAATCACAAGGTTTGCGCATCACCGACGTCGCGAACCCTGCGATTCCACTTCGATTCCTGGGATTCTGAGCCCTGGACCCCCTGGAAATCACAAGGTTGGTTTTGCTCCAAGGGTTGAAATGCCAGGAATCCAAGGAATCCCCGTGAAATCACAGGGTCTCGTGGATTGGCATCCCGGAAATCCCGGAAATCAAAATGAAATCACAAGGTTTGGGCATCACCGACGTCGCGAACCCTCGGATTTCACTGGGATTCTGAGCCCTGGACCTCCTGGGGATCCTAAGGTTGTTTTTGCTCCAGGGTATGAAATCCCAGGAATCCCAGAAATCCCAATGGAATCACCGGGTTCGTTGATTTGCATCCTTGGATTCCCACGAATCCTAGAGAAATCACATAGTTGGGCGATCATCCGGCATCGAAGGGCTGCGGGCCGACAGGATGCGATTTGTGGGTCGCACTATTGAAGTGTCATTGGAATCGAACTGGACTTGCGCAGATCCTAGGCCCAGCTGATTCCGATCTGATTCCTGTTGTAATCGGATGAGAAGCTCGGCATAATGGAGCAGATCCCAGATACAGATGGTTCCCATAGGATCCCTGTTTGGATCCAATTGAAACGTATGAATTCGAATTCGAATCGGAAGGATCAAAACAACCCAGCTTTAAGTCTAGTTGGAACTGGGCAACTGAGCAGATCCCAATTCAGCTGATTCCAAGTGTATTCAAATTGGAGTTGACTTGCAATCTTAGTGGAATTGATCGGATCCCAGATCTAGCTGTGTCCAATTGGATTCCTATTCAAATCTTATTCGAATCAAAGAATTGAGCAGGTCCCAAGATTAGCTGATTCCAAATAGATCCCAGCACGAGAAAGCAGCGGAGAAATGACGAATAGGAAAGATGGATGAGCGCGCACGGTTGACAAGAAGGCAGATGATCAATAAGAGTTCGAAGGGAGGGCTCAAAGACCCATGCAAAATGAGTGGGTGCTGGGGGGGACTGCGCATATATATATATATATATATATATATATATATATATACAAGACTGCATTGGCGCTTCGCGCCATGCACCTTGGTCCTTCGAATCGAGCATACATGCCTGTTCGCCTCATCCATGTTGGCCTTGAAGTGCGGCAAGCTCATTTAGGATTGCGTTTGGAACTGAATTTTGAAGCGGCCCCTGCAACGTGGCGGCGAGAGAGCGGAGGCCCCGAAAGAATAGAAAATCACAGGAAAACCTGAAGTGTCGAGCTGCGAACCGTGATCTGCGCCTTCCTCTCTCGACTCTTGCCCTGCGAACCTCGAGCCTCCATTGGCTTTTTTGGACGACTTCCATGGCCGTGTGGCGTATCTCTTGGGAGCCTTTTGGGGGCCTGTGGGGATGCGTGGTACGCCTCTCGGGCTTTTCTGGGAAGCTGGTGTGAAGCCTCTTGGGAGTCGATTTGAAGCCTCATGGGGTCTTTTTGGGGCTCCTGGGGGCCGATTGGAGCCTCTCGGAGCCTCGTAGGGGTGTGTTGGGGCGCCTCTTGGGGTTTTCTTAGGCCTTCTTGGGGCTCTCGTGGACCGGAAAGCTAGATCTTGGGATGTTTGGTCGCCCGCTGGGGCCTTTTTTGAAGCTTTATCGGGGCCTTGTTGCCCTCTTGGGCGCTTCTTGGGTCGTCTCGGTGCCCGCTTGGGCCGTGCTGGGGCTGTGTAGGGGGCCTCTTGGACCGTGTTGCGGCGGTCTTGGGAGCCTCTTGGGCCGTCTTGGAACGTCGGGAAGCCGAAAAGGCGAGAAAGCCAAAAACTTCGAAAAACACAATGGGGAATCAACAATTGTGGCCTCTTGGGGCCTCTTCGGAAGCGTCTTGGAAGGCCTTTTGGAGCGTCTTGTAGGCTCTGGGGCCGTTTTGTGAGCTTCCCGCTAGCCCACTGCAGAGGCTTCGCAAGGACATTAGGGACGTCCAGAGATGCAGAAGGCCGGCCAGGGGCGTCCAGGAGGCCTGGAAGGCTCGGGGGACCCCCTTGCCAGGCGTCCAAGGGGCCCCAAAAGCGCCAGATTCCGGGGGTCCGATTTCCCGGGGGGGGGGGGGGGGTTTTCCCACCCCCCCGGACTGTAAAAATATAGAAAAGGGAATATATACAGAGAGAGAGAGAGGGAGAGATCCCTGGGAATCGACGATTGCTTGTGTCGGTGTTTTTCAGGATGAAAAGGTCTTACGCGGGATGACGCAGCGAGCTTGCGCGGTGGCTTATTACGAGGGCCGCCGGCGGGGCACGCTCCATTGGAGACGAGGGCGCTTGCGCGCGACCCTGCGCGGGCCACCTGCGCAGCAATGTTGGCGCTGGCGACACTGTGTTTTTTGCGCCGCTCGCCTGCAGGTAGACCGCCGTCAGCACCATCCCGGCGACAATCCTCATGCCCCAGACCTCGGCCGCCGGGCGCTCCTCGCTGCCGAGCGCGGCCTTCTTGCTGCGAGCCTTGGGCTGCGCGGCCGCGGCGTCGGGCGACTTGGCAAACCTCGGCCGCCACTGGTGCACCATGCCGTCGTCGTCGCCGCCGCCCCTGGCGCGTGACGCCAGGTCGGCACCCGCGGCCCGCGGCGTGCTGGCGGCCCCCACGGCGCCCGCGGCGCGGGGGAAGTTGCCCGGGTGCTGGAGGTGAGCCTTAGGCCCGAGGTTTGCCTCCCGGTCGGCGCCGCCCCCCCGCTCCCGAGACCGTTCCCCTGCCGTCTTGTTGTTGTCCATCTGCTTGAGAACCTGCGCCGGGCTCGGGTTGCTTGGGTCGTGGGGCACCCGCAGCCGCTGCCAGCTGCTCTTCATCACGTGCAGGCGCGGCGCTGCCGCGTGCAGGCCCCGCCTTTGGTCCGCCACAGGGTGCGGGCCCGAGGCCTCCTCCGCCCGAAACGGCAGCGCCCGGGCAGCGCCTCCGGGGCTGGGCTGCCGCTGGCGGCGCGCCACAGGGGGGGGCCGCCAGTTCGGCGGTGGGGGGATCCCCCTCCCGCTCCTCCTCCTCCTCCTCCTCCTCCTCCTCCTCCTCCTCCTCCTAACCCTCCTGCTCCTCCTCCTCCTCCTCCTCCTCATCCTCCTCCTCCTCCTCCTCCTCCTCCTCCTCCTCCTCCTCCTCCTCCTCCTCCTCCTCCTCCTCCTCCTCCTCCTCCTCCTCCATCCCACGTATCCCCTCGAGTCGACTCGGTGCCCTCCTCGTGGGGGGTGGGGGGGGCGGGCGGATTTCTAAAGCGCCTCCCCTGGCCTGGCTCGGTCAGAAGGCCGGCCCCCTCGGGCCCCCCTCGAGCTTCCCGGATCCCCAGCGCCGCAGTGTCTCGCCGAGCGGACACCCTCCCCCTGGAGGCGTCAAGCTTAGCATTTTGTTCCCGGGAGATGGCTCTTTACAAGGGGCTGCTGCCCTCTGACGGAACGGGAGCCCCTGGGGCCCCACAACGCACCCCTGTCCCCAGACCCCCTCGGGTCATGAAAAAACCTCACGGTATTTTTGTTTGTTGTTTTCGGCCCTTGGGGGCCCTTGCTGGCCCTCGGGACCGTGAAAAAACTATTCAGAACGAAAAACCGGTCCCGGGGAATGGGTCGAGACCTCTTGGGGTCGACGCCATGAAAAAATCATGACGTCGGGGGTCTGGGTCCCCAGGAGGTCGACGGCACCCATTGGCGCCGTCCGCCGTGATTTCTCCGCTCCACTGCTGCGAGCGGGCCGTGGGGAAACCACAAGATACCGACACGACCACTCCCTGGACCATCATAAGCCACAAGCCAGCCTCAGGGACGAGGACTCTCCAGGACCAGCAGAGTACCAGCATCTGTTCCTTCCCTGCATTCTGGGCTCTCGCCATCGCTCGGACGTCCATTCCCTGTGCCTTTTTCGGTTTCGTGCGTGGCTTTTCCGCCAAATGATCAAGGATGCTCCTCGATGGCCCTCGCCGAAGGAAAAATGCACACGTCCGAGCGATGCCAAGGGTTTTCCCAATACCACCCCACAAGACATCCGCCGGTATGACTTTTTTTCCATCCGCGGCACCAGAAGCCCCGACCTCTTCCGCCCGGCTGTGTTCTTCGCCCTGGGTCCATTTCTTGCAGCCCCCATGGCCCTTTCACGAGCCCTGGAGGCCGAAATCCAGGGAAAAACTAGAGAAACATTTGTTTTGATCGGCAAGGCGAGAGCGAGCCTCTTCCGCAAAAAAAAGACTGGAGAACAAAAAACGGCATACACAAAAAGTCTGACGGCCCGCGCAGATTTCGTTGCTCTGCGCTGGACCCCCCGCCCTGCTGCGCGGAGAGCGGAGGCGCCGCCACGGGGCCCAGCGCGGATCCAAGAATTCCGCGCGGAGCGCCACACAAGCTTATGTTTATGCCGCTTGTTCGGGTTCGAAGATCGCCAGATTGAGAAAATCAGATCCTCGGGTCTCTGAGCTGAAGTTTTTTAGCTCGAACACAAAACGAGGCTTTTGTGGCCTACAACCCACCCACCCACCCAGTAGATAACAGAACGCCCTCCGCGTCACCCGCCCCCGTTGCAGCAGCGCCTGTTGTTTGGCACACAGGTATGCTGCTCGCACCGCACGCGCGCAACGAGTTGTGCTATGGGCCAGCGAACCCACCAACCCACCCACCCACATTCTGGGATCTGACCCGGGTCAATCCAGACCCGGGTCTGTCGGGCCTTGCAGAATCTTGCAAAATCCTGCAAGATCCTGCACCCAAAGCCGGGTAAATGCGAAGGATCCTGCAAAATCTTGCAGGACCCTGCACCCAAACCCGGGTCAATGCGACCCTGGTCTTGCAGGATCCCGCAAGATCTGGCGCTCTGTCTGACCCCCGTTTGCATTGACCCCCGTCCCCAGAGATCCGACGTCGTGATTTTTTCACTACGGGGCACCAGGAAGTCTCGACCCACTCTCCAGAACCGGCTTTTCGTCCTGAGTCGTTTCTTGACGGTCCCGGGGCCCGGCGATCGAGGGCCGCTGGAGGCCCACAATCGATAAAAACCTCCGTCTTGATATTGCCTCAATAATTACGTTCAAGGCCTGGGTCTCAAGGCTCCCAACACATACCGCGCCTTGTGCGGCCTCAAACAAACACACTCGAGCTCGATTCCCCCGCCCTGGGCCGCGCCGCCCCTGCCGCCCGAGGTGGCGCGCGTGCGGCCGGGACGCCGCCGCGGCCCGCATGCCGCAGGGCCAGCGGCGGGATCCGGGCGGCCCGGCCCGGCGAGGCGCGCTCGGCCGGCGCCAGCGCTCGTCGTAAGTCGGGCAGGTCCCCCCACGGGCGGATGTTGGGCGAATTTTTGGTTCAAAGGCAGAACACACTCAAACAGTGTCGAAAAAGGATCAAAAAAATCGCTCCCTGAGCATGTTCTTCCTCTTTTTGGGCACTCCTCCTGTAGAGGGACACGCCCGACGCAGCGCTTGGAAAAGCGACGCCCGCTTGGGGGCCGGCGCCCTGTGAGCCAGGTCGAGGCTGCGGCCCCGCCCAACGCATTTAAAAAATGCTCAATGTTCAGCCTCTAGCGGCCCTCGCCGGGCCCCGGGCCCGCATTGAAAAAAAGTCAAGACGGAGCTTCTTCTCGATCTTCGGCCTCTACAGTGGCCCTCGCAGGGCCCTGGGGCCGTCAAGGAACGACTCCCCAGAGATCCGACGTCGTTATTTTTTCCCCAGGACCAGCTTTTCGTCCTGAGTCGTTCTTTGACGGTCCCGAGGCCCGGCGAGGGCCGCTGCAGGCCGAAAATCGAGCAAAACCTCCGTCTTGACTTTTTCAGGTCTGGGTCGGGGTGAAAAGCCGGTCCTGCGGAAGGGGTCGAGACTTCCGGGGGCCCCGCGTCGAGAAAATCACGACGTCGGATCTCTGGGGAGGGGGGGGAGCACGCGGAGAGACCGCGGTGGGCCTGCGGCCTTCGGGGGGTGCCTCTTCGTCTGGAGGAAATCTGCAGTCTTGGCTGCCTGCCAGACCCTCCTCCCCCTCCTCCTCCTCCTCCTCCTCCTCCTCCTCCTCCTCCTCCTCCTCCTCCTCCTCCTCCTCTTCCTCCTCCTCCTGCTCCTCCACCCCGGCCCAACCCGAAGACCCGAATTTCGGGTTGGGGGGGGGTACGGGCTTGATATATGTGTTTTTGTCCGCGTTCCCCGACTCCCCCCCACTGGACATGGAGGGCAGATCGGGGCCTCCGGGTTGGGATGGGGTGCTCTGGTGGACGGCGATGTCTCGGCGAAGGACCCAGTTCTGTGCAGCTGTGAATGCCGCCGGTGGTGCGCATCCTCGTCGGTGGAGCTTCCCGTGGGGCCACGACGCGGTCGGCGGGGTGGGCCGCAGCGGGTGCAGTGGAGCGCATGCGGGCGCAGCCGCTTGGGGCCCTCGGTGGCGCTGCCCACGGGGCCACGGAAAACGTGCGAGGGGCGTGCCGAAATGGGTGGCGGGGACGCGTGTGGGACATCACAAATAGTCAAACAAAAAGCAAACAATAACCCCTACAGGCGGATTTTGGGCGACAGATCTCAAATACTAGCACAAATTCCCCCCTAATAGTCAAAAAAAAAATGTTTTTAATCTGATGTTTGACTATTTTTGGATACTCCTCCTCTAGAGGGACAGGCCCGACTTAATACGATTCTGGAACAAATGGGGAGGGCGTCTACGGAGAGGCCGCCGCCAGACCGCCGCCCGGACCGGGCGTCCCGAAGCTTCTGACGGCCCGCGCTGATTGCTTAGAGCTGCGCTGGACCCCCTGGTGGCGCCTCCGGCGCGGCCCCTGGCACGCGCGCTCCGCGCGCCGGGGAGGAGGGGCCCAGCGCAGGTCCCAGTCCGCGCGGGCCGTCGACCGTTCGTGTGCTTCTGATGTGCTGCCTTCTTCGAGACGTCGCCGCGGCGGACGCAGCTCGGAAAACCTGTGCGCCTGGACCCCGGGAGGCGTGCTGTGGGGACCGGTCTTGAGCCGTCGCGGCTCGCCCTGCGCCGACGGGGGAGCGCGAGCAGTCTTGGAGGCACGCCGTCGTGGGGGTGAGCCAATCGGCACGGCACCGCGGGCCTGGGAGCCGTATGGCATCTCTGTGGCACGGGATCGCAGCCGCCCGTCGCCGATAAGGTGGCCGGCAGCGAAACGAGAGCACGATTCTGAGGTCGGGCGCGTCCCCCTACAGGCGGATGTTGGGTGACAGATCTCAAATACTCGCAAAACAATCCCCCCAAATAGTTCGAAAAAATTAAAATACCCCCCTGATTACAAATAGTTAAAAACAATCAAAAAATACCCCCCTGATTATTTTGGACTCTTTTTGGGATACTCCTCCTGTACAGGAACAGGCCCGACTTCACACGATTCTGGAACAAATGGGGAGGGCGTCTGCGGCGAGGCCGCCGCCGCCAGACCGCCGCCCGGACCGGGCGTCCGGAAGCTTCTCGTCCCTCCCGTGGGACTCTGCTGTGGTCCTGCGTTCCACGATTGAAACCCTAAATAGCGGAACGCTCTAATATGTAAGGAAAGGTGTAGCCAACGTAGCGGCGAAGGAAGGATTCCTTCATACATGGTGTGCTGAATTATCTGGCGAAGCGGCTGTCGGAACATCAGGGACAAGGGTTGGAGCACGGCCATGTGCACCTTAGAGTAGGTTTACACACAAGCGTGGTCGCTCAACCAGATAACGTTCCAGGCATCATCAACGTGAAAGTACGATTCCACAGTGCATTGCAAGGGATCAATCCCAGCTGAACCGGCAGCCGGACCAGCCGTCCTTCATTGTGCTTCCCGTCCCCCCTGTGGAACTCTTCTGTGGTCCCATCTGCATCACGATGAGAACCCTGTAGCGAAACGATACCAGGGAACAACGCAAGCAGAAACGTTGGAAGTCCGCGCAGATTGCTTGGGCCGCCGGCGCCCGACGTTCCCTCCCACGGCGCGGTGGCCCAGCGCTTGGGAGGCGCTGGCGGGCTTGCGCGAGGTGCTCGCGCACCTGGGGCTGGAGCCCAACGACAACAAGGCGCTTGTCTGGTCTCCGGCGGGAGCCCAGGCTGTCCAACCCGAGCTTGCCAGCAACTACGTGCCGAGCTGCCCGTCCTTGGCGCGCAGCTCTGGGCGCCAAGAAACGCCGACGGAGAGGCGCTCCCGCTCGGCGGGCAGGGGTGCGGGCTGGACGGGGCCACGGCGCGCCTTGGGACACTCTGGACCGGCCTGGAGCGGCTGCTGCAAGGAGGGCTCAAGCGGCAAGCGGCGGCGGCGCTGCTCAACACTGACGCCAGCAACGCTGGCCAACGCCACCTGCAGCTGGCCCTGGCCTCGGAAGGCGGACCTTCCGCTCCGACGCCATGCTGAAATACAGCTGCTGGGCAGGCCTGCGGCGACGGTCGCTCGGCCCAGAGGCGTGCGACCTGCTTGGCCTGCCGGCCGAGCTTGACGGGCGCGGGCGGCAGCTGAAGTCCAGCACGACCTCGGTGTCTCCGGCGTCGGCGCAGGCGCAGGCGGCTGCAGAAGTCCATCACGACCTCGGCGTGTCCGGCGTCTCCACTCTCGGAGGCATGCTGGCGGCCCCACCCCAGGCTGTAGCCGCACTCGAGGCGGCGCGGGCGGAGCTGGCGCGCCAGGGCGCCGACCCTGAGCCCACCGCGCCCCTGGAGGCCGTGCGGGGCCACCCGGCCAAGCAGAAGACTTCGGTTGCTATCTGGTGCGCGAGAAAGCCCGCCCGAGCACTCAGAGACCACTTGGCATACACAAACACACACACACACTCACACACACGCAAACACACACACACACACACACACACACGCACACACACACACGCACACACACACACACACACACACACACACACACGCACACACACACACGCACACACACACACACACACACACACACACGCTTACGCACACACACACACACACTCACACACGCACACACACGCACGCATTTCGCCCTCCCCACGGGCGCGCCGGTGACTCCACTCGCCTGGAGCCATGGCAACGGGGCGCGTCTGCCACGGAGTGGCCAGAGCACACTTCTCCACCAGCGGCGCAGAGAGGGCACCGTCGCGAAGCGCTAAGTCGGGACACGCTCAGGCGAACTTCCACCTGCCACAGCAGATGGGTTGGCGGGGTAGCGGCAGTCGCGGGCAGAACAAACGCGGAAGCGCGCGTGCAAGATGCAGGAAGCGGCCGTGCAGATGCAGGAGTACTGGCCGAGCAGGCCAGAGAATGCACGCATCCACTCGCCTTTTTCTCCAGCGGTCGAGTGACGTCGCCACGGCGAGAGCTAGCCGAATCACACAGGGCGCAGCGAGCGTGTAGCTGCGCCACGGCGAGCGAACGCACAGGAAAGCAACCAAGAGCGGATGGGCGGGTTCGCCCGTGCAGCGTGCCGACCCGGGGAGCCGGGTGAGAGCGGTGAGCAAAGACGCGCGCCACACACTCACACACACACACTCTCTCTCTGACACACACGCACATACGCTCTTGTGCCTCTGGCGCGCCGATGGGCTGCAACCAGCGTGTCAAGGAACGCCAGAACAGGGATCCCTTCTCGGTGAGCCGACCACGTGGCGTGGCATCGCGCGCGGGGCCCTGCTCAGACCTGCCTCCCCGACGCAGCGATGGGCAGCAGTCGCCGGCGCTGTGTGTTCCAGGCAGGGGGTGCCGCCAAGCACCGCGCACAGAGAGACACACACCAGTGCTGGTCGCGCCAGGAGCGCCGAAGGGGGGGGCCGTGCACCTCGAGGGGGGTCCACGGATCATGACCCGAGGCACGTGCGCGGCCCACCCGGGGGGGCCAGGGAACGCATTGAGAGACGAAGGGGGGGCCCTGAAATCTGGGAGATCTCGTGGCCATGGACAGCCCCGAGCACTACATACTTGCAGTGGTAGACAGCGTGGGCCCCAAGCAGTGCATGATTGCACCGTGGGCGTGCAATCCGTGGCGTGAGCAGCTGAGGTGCAAAGCTGTACGGCGTGAACTGAGGAGGTGACGGCTATGCGGTGTAAGCTATGCGGCAAAGGCTATGTCGTGCAGGCTAGGTGGTGTGAACTGTAGGTGGCGGCTACGCGGTGTAAGCAATGTTGCTCATGTAAGCTACGTTGTGAGATCTGTACATATAGAACGCGAGAGAGAGAGAGATATTCGGTGCAAGCTGTGCGCTGCAAGCTACGTCGACGTATGCGGTGTGACTCTGTGGTGAGAACGACTTCGCCTAAGATCAGAACACGGGGCGCCCACGAAGCGGCACGGGCGGCCACGTGCCGCAACCTCGGCATACCCCTCACGCGCGGGGCGCCCACGAGGCGCCCCCCCCAGGCGGCACGGGCGACAACGTGGCGCAATCCCGGCGTACCCCACGAGGCGTGGTGCGCCCGCGGGGCGCCTAGGCGGAAGCACTGGCCGCAGCGTGGCGCGCATAAGAATACCAGCCAGTCACCTTCACGAAGGAAAGTCGGACCCCCCTAGTGCAGGCACCGTGCGGGGAAGACAGGGGAGTCCCGCCAGAGGAAATCCTGGGGCTTGCCTGGGGACGACGCTTCCGGAGGTCCCCCAGGGCTTCCTCGGGTCACCAAGGCCATCGGGCGATCAGAAACTGCCGTTGGGGCACATGCTGACAGCCCGGTTTCTTCTTTGATGCACTTCGCACCCCTCCCAGACGCCCCAGATCGGGAGCGGCCAAGAGGGGGGTGTCCAAGAGGGGGGGGTGCAAATCATGACCGGCGGCATGTGCGCGGCCCAGCGGGGGGGCCAGGGACGTAATGTAATAAGAAGAGGCGCCATGAAATCTGGGGAAATATCATGGCCCCCGCCATGATATCCACCCCCCCCTAGTCATCACCCCCCTCTTTTCCGCCCCCGACCAGATGCTGGCGCCCAACCCTCCACCAGACCCGGGGCGGCGTGGCCGCGGGGCAGCCTGGACCCGGGGGGAGGTGAGCTGCGCGGACTCCACCAGCCGGATGATCTCCGCCAGCGTCGTGGAGCTGCCCACCGCGGTGACCTCCCGGGGGCGCCGCGACGGCAGATGGGGGCGAGGAGTGGCAGGAGGCCGTGGTCTTTCGTCGTCGTCGGACGTCGTCGTCGGAGGTCGTCCGTCGTTCGGGCGGCCTCCTCCTGCCATGGCGAAGCGCCCGCGTCGGCCTCGCCGAACCGCAGGCCACGTCCGCCCTGGGGAGGAGGAGGAGGAGGAGGAGGAGGAGGAGGAGGAGGAGGAGGAGGAGGAGGGGGAGGAAGAGGAGGAGGAGGAGGAGGAGGAGGAGGAGGAGGAGGAGGAGCCGCCGCCGTGTTTCCCCTGACGCTGCGGGGCGGCTCCGATGGCGCCTGCACCGGTGGCGCTGCAGGCCGTGGCGCGGCTGGCGCGCTGCAGTCGCTCGCCTGGCTGGCCGCGCTGCTCGCCTCCCGCGTGCTGGGTGGGGCGAGCAAAGCAATGCAAAGCTCATGAGAGCAAGGGACAAGCCATGCAATGCAGAGCCATGCAAAGCAAAGTAATGCAATGCAGAGCAACGCAAAGCAACTCAACGCCAATCCATGCAAAGCCAAGCAATGCAAAGTAATGCAAGCCAATGCAACGCAATGCAACGCAATGTAAAGCAATGCAACGCAATGCAACGCACTGCAAAGGACATGCAAAGCAATACAAAGCAATACAAAGCACTGCAAAGCAATGCGAAACGTGCAAAGCACTGCAAACAAATGCGACTGCAACGCAAACGCGTGCGACTGCACCGCAGAGCCATCCCGCAGCGGCGGGCGGCGACGGACGGCGACGAGCCGGCCGGCCCAGCACCGGGGCCCAGTGACCACGACCAGCGGCGCCGGGCGGCGGCGACGGGCGCCGGCGGGCGGCGAGGAGCGGGCCGGACCGGCACCAGGGGCTCAGGAAGACACGTTTTTGATCCGCGGGTCGAGAGCGCACCTCTTCCAGTCGAAGCTAAGCGGGCCGCGCGAAGCTTGAATGACGCAGAGAAGAGGAGGGAGGAAGCGGCGGAGCCTCAGAGCGAGGCCGAGAGGAGGCACCGAGCTCAGGAAGGCATGTAAGACCACAAGCAGTGTATGCGTCAGGTTCGCGTCGTGCCGACTTCGGCGCTGGTTTCTGACACCGCGGGGGTCGTGCAACCCTGAACGATCGGCCGTGTCCGAAACACGTCCAAATCGTTCCACTGCGAAAGATTCTGGGTCGCCCGCGGCGTTCAAAAATGAACGCCGCTGGCGGGGTCGCCGCCGGTCGACACGACACGAACCTTCCGTAAGCACTGTTCCGAGGAAAGGTGGGTGGGTTGATGGAGGCGCCTGAGCTCTTTCTGAAGCGCGACTCCTGTTCTGTTGCAGGGCAGCGGCATCTTACGCACAAAGCCGCACGAACGAGAGCAAGATGAACATGTGGATGCGAAGGAGTCGGAGAAGGCACGCGGGGCAGGCAGGGGTGGAATAGACGGTCGGTACACAGAGAGAGGGACGGATCGGGAAAGGGAGGAGGGAACAACTGGGAGGAGATGAAGGAGGGAGTAGGAAAGATGGATGATGAGCATAAAACAAGACAAAACAAACAACTGTCAAACATGCCAAAACACCAACGAGGAGAACAAGCGGGTGAAAATGGCGAGGATAATGGTGATGGAGAATGGTCATGGTGATGGTAACGGTGATGATGGTGATGACGATCATGATAGTGATGATGATGACGATGATGAGGATGGGGATGATGGTGGTGACGATGATGCTGATGATGATGATGCAGGCGTGAAGCAGGGAGGTGGAGTAGGAGGGGCATGATGGGCAGAAAAAAGAAGCACCAGTATGAAAACGCGGAGGAGGGCGCGGTGGTGATGATGATACTGATGATGATGGTGATGATGATAATGATGATGATCAGCATCATCATAATGAAGGCGTGAATCAGGGGGGGTACGAGGAGCACGATGAGCAGAAAGGAAAAGCGCCAGTAATAGAGCGCGGAGGGCGAGGTGAAGAGGGAGATGTTGATGATCATGATGATGGTGTCTTTAATGGTGATGGGGAGGAGGAAGGCGTGAAGCAGGTGGTTGGGTAGGAGAATAATGATGAGCAGAAAGAAGCGCCAGTAAGAGAGCGCGGAGGAGGGCGAGGTGAACATGGAGATGAGATTGGTCATGATAATCATGATGATGATGATCATGATAATGACGATACTGATGATGATGATGATGATGATGATGATGATGATGATGATGATGATGATGATGATGATGATGATGATGATGATGATTTTCCTGCCCGGCGAACCTCACGGTATGGCCTGCTTCGTACATGTTCATACGGTTTTAAGAAGATGCAATTAAAGCTGACGACAGCATCAGGATAGATGCTAAAGCCAGCATTCACACGCGACTGAGAGTCGAAGAAAAGTTTACGCTGTACGAGGATACGGTAGAGAGCTTCCACCACCTGCACGAGACCCTGGAGCTCTCCGAGGGTGACAGCGCCGTCACCCCAGAAAGTCGAGCCTTCGGCAACATTGTAGAAGATCGGCTGGCCAGACTGATCACAGAAGCGATCGACCCCTATGTGCCAACCGCTGGAGGCCAGGCCCGACTTGGAGCCCCCATCGAATTGGGCGGACACGAATTTGGTCTCCTGGAGAGGAAAAGGGGGAGGCGAATAAAACGCATGAGACTGTATACCCTCTAGAGCTTCGGAAGCAAGAGCGTCAGCTCGTTTGTTGAACTCCCTGAAGACATGCCTACACCAGTGACCAGTCCTTTCCCTGGGGGCCGCGAGGCCACCGGACCACAGTTTTTCGAGCCGAGTCTGAGCCGTGGCGACGAAGGGGACGTAGAAGCTATCATACATGCTCCCGCAGCCGTTAAGCCACTGAGCGATAAGCCTCGAGTCTTCTAAGATTTCAAGCCTACACGAAATGCTGTTCAACGCCAGGGGAGAGGAGGAGAGAGGTGGCTCAGGCGAGGCATCCCAGGACACGAGAGGTAGATCGACTTTGCGGCGCTTGACCACGTCCATCGGAGAGTTCAGACCCGTGGGAAGAGAACGGGGCTTGATCTCCGACTTCACTCGATCAGGAACGGCAAGGCCTATCCATTCGTACGCGTGCTTCACGAAGAGCCAGGACTTCGGGGTCGAAAAGAAAGAGAGGTCGCCGATGGAAAGAACCCACAGGCCCTCAAGAAAACCCAGGAAGACTTCATCCCACTGGCGTGCACGAGTATAGTGAGGTTCGTGTTTCCACTTACGTTTGTTCCGTGCATCTGAACCTTCGCCACTTGAGAGCATCTGCTGCACTGTTCTCCACTCAGCTGTACTTCTCCAGCACAAAACATCACGAAGAAACTCATGAGCACGGGAAGGGGGCGTCGTGGCATTGATGTGTCGAGGCACCGTTCTGGAATTAGCGAGAACGCAGCACGAAGGACACGAACACCCAGCGGGAGAAAACCCGCAGCAGCATACTGTCTTTTAGCAAAACGAACTGCACGTCTGAAATAGGTCACAGGGTCTTCTTGGGGACGACGTCGGAGGCGAGCGATTCTCCGTAGGTGATAGCCTTCCCATCGATCCAGTCTCAAAGCTAAGCCATGACTCCAGACCCAGGAACCACAGCCGTGACAGACAACAGGCACCACCCTCTTCTCGTATCGATCGAAGCGGACTCCCAACGGTACAGAGGTAGCTAGGTAGATCTTGGCGTCCTTCCAGAACGCCTGGGAGGCTTTCTGCAACCAGTGGCCCACTGCATCGGTAGTGTTGCCGTCGGGGGTCTGCCAAACACCCAAGACCTCGAAGCCCTCTGAGCGCGCGGAGAAGACCCAAGAGGTGGAGACCACGCCGAACGTGAGCGAGTCGCACATGGGGAAGATCGCATCGCTGGTGAAGAGCTCGAGAGACTCCTGCATCCAAGACAAACCATAACCCAACATGATGGAGGCGAGATCAACAAAGAGGCGGCGGACCAGATCCAAATAACTCGCAATCATTTAAAAAAAAAAAAAAAAAAAAAAAAAAAAAAAAAAAAAAAAAAAAAAAAAAAAAAAAAAACTGGCGAAGGACCCAACCATATGCAACTGTGAATACCGCAAGTGTGAATATGATTTTCGGCGGCGCTACCTCTGGATAGTGGAGACGCATGCGAACACCCCCACTGGGGCCTTCGGTGGAGCTCCCTATGGGGCTACGAAACGCTGCCCTGGGTGGGGGAACCGCATGCAGGCAGCCCCACTGGGGCCTTCGGTGGAGCTCCCTGTGGGGCCACGAAACGCTGCCCTGGGTGGGGGAACCGCATGCGGGCACCCCCACTGGGGCCTTCGGTGGAGCTCCCTCTGGGGCCACGAAACGCTGCCCTGGGTGGGGGAACCGCATGCGGGCACCCCCACTGGGGCCTACGGTGGAACTCCCTCTGGGGCTACGAAACGCTGCCCTGGTGGGGGAACCGCATGTGGACACCCCCACTGGGGCCTTCGGTGGAGCTCCCTATGGGGCTACGAAACGCTGCCCTGGGTGGGGGGGGCGCATGTGGACACCCCCATTGGGGCCTTCGGTGGAGCTCCCTCTGGGGCTACGAAACGCTGCCCTGGGTGGGGGAACCGCATGTGGACACCCCCACTGGGGCCTTCGGTGGAGCTCCCTCTGGGGCTACGAAACGCTGCCCTGGGTGGGGGAACCGCATGTGGACACCCCCACTGGGGCCTTCGGTGGAGCTCCCTCTGGGGCTACGAAACGCTGCCCTGGGTGGGGGAACCGCATGCGGACACCCCCACTGGGGCCTTCGGTGGAGCTCCCTCTGGGGCTACGAAACGCTGCCCTGGGTGGGGGAACCGCATGCAGGCAGCCCCACTGGGGCCTTCGGTGGGGCTCCTGTGGGGCCACGAAACGCTGCCCTGGGTGGGGGAACCGCATGCGGGCACCCCCACTGGGGCCTACGGTGGAGTTCCCTCTGGGGCTACAAAACGCTGCCCTGGGCGGGGGAACCGCATGAGGGCAGCCCCACTGGGGCCTACGGTGGAGCTCCCTCTGGGGCTACGAAACGCTGCCCTGGGTGGGGGAACCGCATGTGGACACCCCCACTGGGGCCTTCGGTGGAGCTCCCTATGGGGCTACGAAACGCTGCCCTGGGTGGGGGAACCGCATGTGGACACCCCCACTGGGGCCTTCGGTGGAGCTCCCTATGGGGCTACGAAACGCTGCCCTGGGTGGGGGAACCGCATGTGGACACCCCCACTGGGGCCTTCGGTGGAGCTCCCTATGGGGCCACGAAACGCTGCCCTGGGTGGGGGAACCGCATGCGGACACCCCCACTGGGGCCTTCGGTGGAGCTCCCTATGGGGCCACGAAACGCTGCCCTGGTGGGGGCATGGGGCCTTCGGTGGAGCCCCCTCTGGGGCTACGAAACGCTGCCCTGGGTGGGGGAACCGCATGTGGACACCCCCACTGGGGCCTTCGGTGGAGCTCCCTCTGGGGCTACGAAACGCTGCCCTGGGTGGGGGAACCGCATGCGAACACCCCCACTGGGGCCTTCGGTGGAGCTCCCTATGGGGCCACGAAACGCTGCCCTGGGTGGGGGAACCGCATGCGAACACCCCCACTGGGGCCTTCGGTGGAGCTCCCTATGGGGCTACGAAACGCTGCCCTGGGTGGGGGAACCGCATGTGGACACCCCCACTGGGGCCTTCGGTGGAGCTCCCTATGGGGCTACGAAACGCTGCCCTGGGTGGGGGAACCGCATGTGGACACCCCCACTGGGGCCTTCGGTGGAGCTCCCTCTGGGGCTACGAAACGCTGCCCTGGGTGGGGGAACCGCATGTGGACACCCCCACTGGGGCCTTCGGTGGAGCTCCCCATGGGGCCACAAAGCGCTGCCCTGGGTGGGGGAACCGCATGCGAACACCCCCACTGGGGCCTTCGGTGGAGCTCCATATGGGGCTACGAAACGCGTGAGAGGTGTGCCGAGAGCAGAGGCAAGGAGGGGGAGGAGGGAGGAGGAGAGGAAGGAGGGGAACGCGGGGCACCGTCTCTTCAAAACGAGGACCCAACACCACAGGATGGTTGGGGAGAAAAAAAAAAAAATCCGCTCATACCAGATGGTTGTAGAGACTATCTGAAATAATGATACCAATGCCGTCCTGAGTCCAAGCATCCATCACACGAAATAGAAGTAGACACACGATCAGATTCCACAGAAACGGCGTCTCCACACCGCCCTGCTTGCCACTTTTACTGAAGGGTATAGCCCCTGGCGTCTTGATGCCCTGGAAGACTGGCTTCACCACGTTGAAGAGCTGCCCCCTCAAGATGGCCGCCATGGGCTGTGGGTGAAGGCGACGGCGTCGCAGTCGCATGGCATCGGTCATGAGGTCGAACGCGATCTTGTCGAAGGCCCCCTGCACGCCCCCCTTCGCGGCACACAGCGGGCACTGAAGGCGCCACTCACGCGAGCGAGCACATGACTGTTGAAGTCCACCAGCCAGCATATCCACTGAGAGTTCTTCTTCATAGCCAAAGATGCAAGCACCAGCCCATGAACGAGGAGGAGGTGTAAGACGCGCCAGTATCACAAGGCACGATGTGCACCATTTCTGGAGCATGTCCAGCAGACTGATACCACGGAAACTGGCCAATGAAATGGGCGACGGAACCTTCTCAATGAAGAACATAACGATAGTGCTCCACGACTCGCTGCTCTGAACGAACGACCCCGAGTAGCGTTCGCTAAATAGATGACCTATGATGTAGCAGACCGAGATAGGCAACAGGGCGATCATCTCCCCGACGATTTTCGATGTGCCCCCTGGAGCTTTGCCCGGGTTCAATTTTGCACGGGCCCTTAAGACGATGCCGATCGAGAGTTTCGGAGCGCGACGACCGTCGACGCGCGCGCCTCGAGCTTCGACGGCGAGTTGATGATAACGAACGTTATGCTTTAAGTCTGTCTCGTTCGGGCCGGTGCATTTGTCCGCTCAGCGCCGATCGACCTCTTCCCCCCATTCTGCATGATCTTTTGAGGGCGCCCCAGCGCACTCCAGACTAGGGATCTCGGCAAACGTGTCTGACTGACGGCTGGCCTCGAGCGCTCTCCACCTCTTGCGAAGAAGCCGCTCGCGACGACGGCGCCGTCTCCCAGCAGAACCTGGAGGCGCCTCTTTCGACTGCAGCTCGGCCAGACGTAGATCATGAGGTTTAGCCTGAAGGACCCTGGACCTCGAGGACTTGGTAGAAAACTTGATGGCCATAGCAGCAGTCTCGAAACACCCTGAAACTTTCTCCAGGGAAGACTCCAGCGTGCCAGGTGCACAAAATCCATCGTGCCATAGACTCGTCGAGACCTGGTCCAGGAAGAGCGCGGAGTCATTCTCAGAGGTGGGCTTCCAGCCCGCCGAGCTACGTTGAAACTCAGCTTTGCCAATAGCGACATCACCCGGCACTCCCAAGGACACGTGGACAGGATCGCGATCACTGCTGGCCCACTTGTCTTCCTTTCGGACCCAGCCCCGATGAGAAAGCGCACTGGAAACCAAAACAAAGTCGATCTGAGTATATCTCTGCCGCCCCCCCCCAGGGACGTCGGGTGAACCAGCCACTCTGAGAGAGCCAGGCCCTAGCCATCAGCAGATCAAAGCGTTCCAAAACACTGAGGAGTAGGAGACGACATCGCTCGTAGGGATCATTCGTACGAGAAGGGGGACGACGTTGCACATGAGGGCCCACTCTGCCGCGCCAGTCTGCAGCTGGCTCCGCATTGGCATCCAGGCCCACCACGAGAAAGCGGACTCCACTGGCCTTCAGCTTCGCGAGGACAGCGACCCATGAGACTACCGTGCATTCAAACTCGGCAAGGCTGGCATCTTCAGAGGCATAGGGGAGGTGGCAGGAGACGAAACCCCAGGGGCCCAAGCGAACCCAAGAGATCCTGTCGGAGCACTCCCAATCAGAGACTTCCTGTTCGAGAGAGGAGGGAATAGAGATAGCTGTGCGGTGACCACTGCCGTGAAAAATGAACGCAGCCAGGCAACTCGACATCGACTTGCACCCGCTCAACCTCTTGAAAGAAACCAATGCGCTGAGCCAACTTTAGATCCCCACAAAGTTCGGCAAAGGTATTGGAGGTACTCTTGTTGAAATTCCAGGTAACAACTCTCAACGAACTCCAGGCAGAAGAGAACGTCCTTCTCGAGGATACAGAACGGGAAGATCAGCGGCAGGCCTCGACCATCATCGGCGGCGTGAGCGAGTCCTTAATATTCTTGAGCACCTCCGCATAGACCTGCCATCCCTCCGCAGGAGACCACAGCGCGAGCGTCTTGATCTCATCCATCTTCAGCCTGACGACCAGGGGCGTCTTGCTCCACAAGATTTGGAACTGGTCTTTCCGCAGGCCCTGCTCCAGGAGAAAGCGTGTGGCCTTGCCTCCCGCAGTGTGGAACTGCCTGCGGTCGGGCGCCACCTCGACTCCAGAGAAGACGCGCTTGCCTTTGAGCATGTGCAAGCGGCCCTCATCGAACATCTTCATGAGCGAAGAGCGGAGACCCCAAGCGCCATTGTTGCGCTCATCCCTCGCAGCCTCACTCAATACCAACAATAGTTTAGCATTCAGCTCCTGCCGCTCGGCCTTCTGAATAGAAAGTTCCCAATCCACTTTGTCCGGTTCTTTCTGTTCCAAGCCCTACTTCAAGCTCAGGAGGTAAGCCTTGGCCTCAGAGCCAAGGAGACATGAGCGATCCGCGGGCCTCCCGAAGTCATCGAACTCGCTGACGCCTTGATCTCCACGAAACTGGCCTTGAAGGGGCCACCCGCCGAACTGCCGTTGACGTGCGAGCCACCACCCATACTACCAGGAACAGTAGATGCAATGTCTAGTTTGGCGGCCGAGAGAGTTTCCCTCGCCACCTTCAACGCT